TTAAGCACCTTGGAGGACGGGGCTCGTGTTGTGCTACGTGGCTTTCGTTGGGCAGAGCGTTTGCCTCCGAGGAGGTCGCGAGGTGGCGCGATGAGGGGTTGTCATGATCATGCGGTCGAGTTGGCCGCCTACTCTGCTTTCGGACCTTCTCTCGCGTATCACCGAGTGGAGAAGAACGGCGGGGGGTGCGGAGGAGGCTCCTGCTTGCAGATCAGTCTGCCTGCTAGCGATGCGCCCGCTGCCCGTGCCGCTGCCAATTCGCCTGCCCATTTTTCTCAGGATCAGCGTTGGAGAGCGCAGCGATAATGATTTTCACCAGTGCCTCGAAGCCACCCTCGGGACTCAGGGATTGCTGGTGCAGGTTATCATGCCAAATGGCAAGATTTGAATGATGAGAACATGGCCACGTGGCTCCACAAACTTGTTGTTAGGGGGTATATGCGGGCGTTGCTGCTTCCTCCCCGCGTGGCTTGGATCTGTGGGCTCCAACGGCACGCACATTAGATGTGTCTGTTTCCCATGGGACAAGATGGCTCTCAATTATCGTGAGAGGTGAAAGAACGAGGCCGATAGTCGCGCCACCCAAGCTACTCTGACGATTTTGTCTGCCGCTCAACTGCACCAAACCCCGCGGGCCTGCGTGAGCCGCCAGATGGTTGTCCCGTGCGTTGCTCTTGACGGTTCCTCGGCTTTTCCGAAGCTCTTGGGAGGCCCTCGGGCGAATCAATGGGCGGTCGAAGCGTGTAGGCGCGAAAGCGCCACCTTGCAGTGGGATCCCACCTCCGTGATTCACCGCGGCGTGACGGGGCTCGATCACATGGCGGGGGATGAGGAATGGAAATGCACGTGGGGGTGTGCGCGTGTGCCGTGGCTGGGTGAGTGTGCGTGTTGTATTGTGGCCTCGCCCTTTTGCGTGTCGTGTGCCCTAACCGATGCCTTCGCGCGCGCTGTGAGCAATCTCAGCTCGGTGCAAATGAAGTATGGAACTGACGGGTAAACATTTTACTGGCGGGGCTCCGTGGATGCCGCTTGATCCGTGTGTGTCGTGATGGTGTGCTGCTCTCTTCCTTGTTTTTTTGGGGTCGGCTGGGTGCTGGGTGGGAACCCTGATGTCACGACTGCATGCTGCTGCAATTCGGCCTGGTCGGCCCACTTTTCCTGTTCTCGGTGTCCATGACTTCCTTTCTCACGCTCGGGTTCGGCTGCTCTGACATCTGCCTTTAGCTTGCAATGCGATGCGAGGGGGAGGAGGAGGAGGATGAGGAGGAGGAGGGCCTGTTCGTAAGGGCGCCCTCAAAGGGCCCGCGGATCTTTGCAGGCATCCAGCGTGGATTGGAGGATCTGCGGGATGACTCTACAAAAACTGAATCAACACTTTCACCAAACTCCGGGCCATAACATCAACGAAACGTTCACTCCCCCTTTTCAACAGATTAGCTAACGGGTCCTACCCTCGCTCTGTTGATTAACGCGCAAACCTGTTTGGATATGCTAGATTTGATGACGATCTCTGGCGAACTTGGCCTTTGCCAACCCGCTTGCTCAGTGTGCCACCGTGCTGCGCTGCCCCCCTCTTAGATCAACCATCATTGGATGATGACTTGTGCCGCTCGAGCTGTCCCCGTTCGGGTATTGTTGATCGCGCCTCTGGTTCTACGCCAGACTTCATGTAACGCATGTCGGCTTCTCGAGAGTCTGGACATCGCGTGCTCCTCTACCCGTGCGCTCCAGTCGGAGGGCGTGCTTTCCCTGCGCGCCACATATGTGTTCCAAATACCGTTGAGGCCATTTAGTTTAGAGATCGCCCCAAGCAGGCCCGACTTTGTCTCATAAAAAAAGCACCCCACATATTTCATAACACATCATCCCCAATCAAACGAATACTAAAGCCTGCGCGAAGTCTCCCACGAGCATCCCAATATCGGACACGCCTGGCCCCAAGAACACATAGAACTCAACACCTGGCACGAATCGAGAACATCATGCCACATTTGGTGCCAAGGCTGCCGCTGGAAAATCTCAGGAAGATGATCGAAACTTGCCTCGAGCAGCCGTGCACAGACCTACTACTAGTGCCTGGCCGTCCTGCGCATCAGTCGAGCCGCCTGCGTCTCTCGATCGGGATAGGACTCCGAAGCCTCCCCCCCTCCTTCTTGATCTTCATGCATATCCTCAACGCCCCTCCTTCAAGTAACCGAATTCCATCATGCGCAGATGGGTTCCAAGCTCTCCCTTCCGCGCCGTGCACCGCGCGCGAAGAACTCGATCTGACGTGCCTTCGCGTTCGTTCAGGCCTGGGCAACCATGATATCTGAATTGCACTTTGCTGAACAAGAGCTTCGAACTCTGACTGAGACGGTATTCGGGAACCGCTGCGGAGTCGCCAATCTCCGTGATCTGTGCTCCCAGAAGGACAAGGTTCTTGCGGCGCGGTATGTCTACCTTCCCTTGCAGGACTCCATTTCTTATCCTGGCAGACGCTGGTCCCACCTCCGTCGCAGAGTAAGCAGCGTTGCCAAGACATGCGAGCAATGCCAAACTGCTTGCAAAATAATGGACTGGGCTGCGTACATGCGCTGAGAAATCAATCCAGAGGCAAAAAAGATGTTGCCAACCCCGAACCAAACAACACATTTGAAAACATTTGATCAATTCATCGGTCACCTTCCCCGCACTTGCTCCTGGGCAGCATAGTCCATTGTGAATTAGCACCACCAGTAGGCCGGGTATTCGGTAAACCAAGAAACGCTCATAAAAGTGTTGGACAGCTCCATCGGTCGCGGGCTCCGCGCGCATCTGCTCCTGGTCGGCGTGGTCCAGTTGTGAGTCAGAAGAGCGGGCTGGATGTTTGACAAATCAGGAACATGCCCCAGATAGTTTCGGCAAGTCTAAAGGTCGCCAGCTCCACGAAACAACAAAGCAAAGCATGCAAGCACACTGGGTTCATGCTTTCTAAGCTCATTCTCCAGGAAAGACGGTTTTGGTGATTTCAAGAGCGGAGTCCTGAATCATTATCATATTCTTCTCGGCGCTTGATGCCAGTAAGAGCCAAATTCCAGCCCACTGCAAGTTTCACGATCGGTTTCCTGCAATAAGACCGATTTCGGCCTAAATGCAATAACGACCACGTCAGTCGAATAGTATCATTTAGCAACTGTATCGGTAGCGCCCGTCTTCTCGTACTTCGTCAAAAGAATTCGCTTGTACCTCTTTTGCGCCACAAATTATGGAAACTATATGCATACCGACCCCATTCTTGCAACACAGTGGCCGCCATCTGGCCTGCCAGATAAAAGTCTTCATGGCTGATACAAGCAAATGATTGTAATACATCCCCCGACTATAGAAGACATGGGAAGCATTCTGGCCATTCCCCCCCGCTGAGAAAAGAAGTTGCGTAGAGCACCAATAAACCGAGTGTAATTCGCCCCCCATGTACTAAGTGATTCAACTTCTCCCTCTTCCAAGTTTTCTCCACCAGGCACGTGAGAATATTGATGTACCACCTTTGCAAGACACTTTGAGGGACAGCTTCGCGCAGGTGCATACATGGTGTCCTCTTCGACTTCTCCACGAATACCATGCTACATTTTCACATGCCAACTGGCCATGTCCTCCTTCTCATCGTACCACTGAATAACAACGTGAGGCCAAACCTCCTGACTTCAAATATAATTTCAGCCCCGATCCGGAGATTGCCTGCAGCGCTGCCCTGTTGGAAGTGACATCTGCAGAGGAGGAGGAGCAGGAGGAGGAGCAGGAGGAGCAGGAGCAGGGAGAGGAGGAGGAGGAGGAGGAGGAGGAGGAGGAGGAGGAGGAGGAGGAGGAGGAGGAGGAGGAGGAGGAGGAGGAGGAGGAGGAAGGGATGCTAAGGAGGAGAAGGATGAGGCGGATCGCCGAACTCGACCCGATCCGATGCAACATGTGTGGTTGGATTACTTCCGAACGGCTCCGACCTGAACACCGAACTCCAAGCCCATCGTCTCCGATTCTACGCCCGCTGGCTGCCCAACGGGGCCTTCGGGCAGTGGAGGCTGCGAGCCGCTAGAGTTACGACATGTTTTTTTTTTTTTTTTTGGGGGGGGGGGGGGGTTGATGAGCACCAGGATGAAGTAACTATCCTCTGCAATCGCCATATTGCCAAAGGACAAGTCGGTGCAATAAGCTCAGATAGTTCCCCGACATCATCTTACAGATATGCTGAATCAGCCCGGAGATCAGATTTTTTACTAAAAAACGGGGTCTCCAGGAGTTCCACCCCCTCCCCGCAAGGCCCAGCTTGTCGTCCTGCTAATTTTTCCACGATCCCAGGGCCTGGCGAGTGCCCCTGGAAACCGACAGTAGCGAACACCTCCGTGCGGAACTTATCAAAACTGGGGCTCTCGAACTGTTGTGCGCACAACCAAGTGCGCGTGCTGGGGTGTCCGTCGTCGGGCTGGACTCCTGGCACATCCTGACGAAGCGCAGCGCAAAACGAGGAGCGGAAATACCCACACAATCGGAGCAACCGCAAGTCACATGCGCAACCGTGCGGAAATACGCGCCCCCCCCCCCCGTGGGCTCAGATGTAAGCATGATCATGCGCTAATGGCCCCTTTGCGCTAGAACGCATGTCGTTCCCTGCGCTGCAACCCGCAAGCGTCCTCCCTTCCCGACTGGCCTTCCCTTGGGGTAGGCGGATGGGGAGGACGATCGAGACAAAGCGGAGGGGGGAGAGGGGGGGACGAACAATATCACCCTTGACGACGCCCTCCAGGGAACGACAGCCGCGAAGTGTGAAATGCCTGGTTTGATCGTGGACGGAACGGCGCATGCGCTAGTGTTTTGTTGCGCCACTCTCCCCTAGTCGTGATCGCCGACCTCCTCTTCCTTCTTTTCCTCGTCGATCGACGCCCTCCTCTTCCTTGTGTTCCTCGTCGTCTTCCTCCCCGTCCTCCTTCAGCAGCACCTGCAGCCGCCTTCTTCGCCCCCTGATGTCTGCCCTGGCGCAAGAGCGGAGCCTGAAGGCTTCGCGGCGTTCGGGCGCGAGTCTCCCTGGGGGCCGTCTTTGGCGTTCGTCTGTTGGCTCCTCCTCTTCTTGCCGCCGCCGCAATTGCTGTGGAAGCTGCCGATCATCCTCTCACCCTGAATGCTCGTTGCTGAAGGAACCGCGACACGAAGTATACATAGAACTCCTGAGCCGACACGGACAGTCGTCGCCAAACGATCAGCAACTTTCAAATCCCTTGCTAACAACAAACACGCTTGCCTATCCATGCTCCGTTCTGGCCAAGCAAAAACGAGGGGAAACCAACAAACACATGATCCCTCGAAACGTTGCGAACCACGTGCTTCGTGCTGACGCTGGAATGCTATCACAACTGGAACTGTTTGATCGATGGATGCCACACGTTGGCGGCAATGCGCTGTGCACCGCTTGCTCGCCATTTCTGCTCCTCAGCTGCAGCGTTCTCCAAGGGCACAGACAACCACTATTTCCACTTTTTGTGCTAGTCGTTCTAGGCGCACGCGAGTTCCTCCCTGATGTACTTGAGCTCAGCTGCTCAAGGGCCCTATTGCCATCAGCTAGCTTGAGCAACACGATTCCTGGCCTCGGCCTTCAGGAACGCTTTGTATACTGATGCGGGTGAATACGCTGCCAGAGCGCAACGGGCGTTGCCGAGTCTTCATGTGCACTGCAACAAATGACGTAAACGCGTTTCCGAAGTGCTCTGGTTCTGATTCCGCGAAAATGGAGGATTAAAACCGATGGTGGCACAATGCGGCAGTGCGATGAGTACGGGGAGGGGGGGGAACGAGAGAATAGCAGGATCCGTTCCTGCCCGTGGGCCTTTCCCCAGCGGTGGCAGCAAGCTCCACGAGCTCCACTGCGGCGAACCCATACGAACGTCAAGAGCCACTCATGATCCACGCCTTTCCCTGACATGACACTACAGTACATGCAATTTCGGTGGCTTCGCTGCTCTATCGTCGAAGCAATCCTGCTGTTGATCATGGCGATGGCTTCGATGCTGATCCCGACGACGACGACGACCCAAGCGACGACGATGATGGTGACGACGACCGCAGCAAAGCTGGTTAAGATGTTTTTTTCCAGGCTCAGGCGGCGCGCAAGAGGGGGTAGGGGAGGGGGGACAACTTCTTAAAAGGAGGCTGCTTCTTAGAAGGCACTGGCCCTACATCTATAGACAAGGCCTTCCCCTACCCCCCTCTGCGCGTGGCCGAAGGCTTGGGCTAGCTCTCTTCCAGAGCGCTGAGCCTCCTGTGCAGGTGCGGCACCAATGCGTCGCCCGGGTCCCAGTCGTTCCCGAGCGGCGCCGCGTTGCGCAGCGCCTCTCCATAGAGCCGCGCCGCCAGCTCGTCTCACCGTCGCTCAGCCGCCCCACGGCCGAGGGGCCCCATGGACAAAACCAGAAAGGCCAACCCCAAGCAAGCAATCAATCGATGACGGGCCGACCTCTGCCAGCTCTCGAGATGCTCTTCTCGGAGAAGGGCGAGTTGAGACCTGGACGGTCCAGACGCACCAGTTTCCCGAGCTGCGTCCAGCCGTGGCGACGAGGGCCCCCCCCTCAGCCTCCTCCTCCTCCTCCTCCTTCTCCTCCTTCTCCCCCTCCTCCTCCTCCTCCTCCTCCTCCTCCTCCTCCTCCTCCTCCTCTCCTTCCCCCCCGTCCTCCTCCTCCTCCTCCTCCTCCTCCTCCTCCTCCTCCCCCTCC